ACTTAAAAAATCTCAAAGACCTTTACAGGTATGAAGACTACTGTTTGTTCTAAAGTGTCAGTTTGTTCCAGAATATAAAGGAGCATAATAAAGGACAAATTTTTATGAGATTGCATTTGCCTTGGTTTCTAATAACTGCATCTGAAATGAAGCTGAGAAACATTAAAATTTTAGTGAGTTTGCTAAGTTTTGATGTGCTTATTTCTTTGGCACTGATTAATGCCGGTCCTACAATAAGAAAGGTTATTCTTTTTGTGTAAATTCTTTTTTGTGCTTTCTGTTTATTTTCTCTTTATTTACATAGATAGAAAAGCAAAGAACGAAGGCTCCTCATTTATGAATGAGTCAAGGTTATTTATAATCATGTCACCTTATATGTTCATTTTCAAATATTTTATTGTTGCTTTGAAAAATTAGATAACCAAGAACTGTTTCTCAGGTCTTCAAGTGCCCCATTCTCTTTTGATAATTCTTTCGACTTTCCCTTTTAAAGATCAGATCTAAACTTAGGAAAAAATGTTCTTTTCTTACCAAAAATTGTCCTTAAAATTTCCTAGAGGGCCTCTAGAAAATCCTGTATTTGTTTTCAGCTTATAAAAGGAAATGCTTGGAATAATTAGATTCATTTGAAATTTCACGAGAGGAGCTGCCATATCTGAGAAGAGATAGTCTGTCCTAGGTTAGATTCTTATAGGTGAATTGTTATTAATATAAATATTTCAGAAATTGTTTGCTTTACAGGAAGTTCCTGGAAATCTGACAATGCCTTGCTATTTTACCCTCAGAGGAAATACTGATTAAAACTTCTAGGTTGGCATGGTGGCTCACACCTATAATTCCAGCACTTTGGGAGGGCGATTGCTTGAGCTCCAGAATTCAAGGCTACAGTGAACTATGATGGCACTACTGTACTCCACCCTGGGTGATAGAGTGAGACTTTGTCTCAAGAAACAAAACAAAACCCAAAACAAAAAAACCTCCTGTGAAATAGTTACATATGTACCTCAAAAGAGAATTTTACTTAACTTCTGTTCTGATCTTATTGATTAAAGAAGTAAATTAAGCACAGTTCTAAAATATTTGTCATCCATAGAGAATTTCTTTCTTTTTTTTTTACTCTGATGCTTGCCTGAAAGCTCTGCTACAAGCTATAGTCAATATTTTATGCCTGCAACAGAGACAGATTCAGAGCATTAGGGAAAAGGAGTATAATACACACTTTAATATTGATATTGACATATCAAACAATAACCTCTTGAGTACAGGCTTCTGAGATGATACAGCTTAGCTAACTTTCATATAGTATGGGGGACTGAATCAGGAATTCCAGGACTCTTCAGTATGGAGGCAGATGGCTTCAGGAAAGCAGACTGCTAACTCAACATTTAGCAGAACAAGAATGATATAGGACTAGTGAAATATTAAAGAAATTTTTTTTGCATTTATTTGGAATATTGTTGATTAGTTTTTGTTTTGTTTTGTTTTTTGAGACAGAGCCTTGTTCTGTCGCCCATGCTGGAGTGCAGTGGCATGATCTTGGCTCACTGGAACCCCCACCTCCCAGGTTCAGGCAGCTCTTGTGCCTCAGCCTCCCAAGAAGCTGGGAGTACAGGAATGTGTCACCATGCCCAGCTAATATTTGTATTTTTAGTAGAGATGGGGTTTTGCCATGTTGGCCAGGCTGGTCTTGAGCTGTTGGCCTCAAGCAGTCTGCCCATCCTGGGCTCCCAAAGTGCTGGGATTACGGGTATAAGCCAATGTGCCCAGCAGTTAGTTTTAAATATTTTAAGGCTATGTGGCTCTAGACTTACAAAATAAATCAAGGGGACTTACATGGTTAATTCACACTTTTGTTGATAAATAATCAGGGCAAAGCTTGTGAATCTAGCCTTTTTTTGTGATCAATTATCATCTTTGTGATTACTTTGATCATAGTGGGTGGTGGAGACTCTGTTAGCAAAAACTAAGAGACTTTGAAATGGGCAAAAAAGGTCATTGGTGTCCAGTTTAGTGCATCCTTCTGGGTTACTGCCACCTTTCATTTTCTTTGAGCTATTCAATGATTTTTTAGGTTGAGGAACTTACAGTAGTGCATATGATTCTTTAGTTTTCAGGGCAAAAGACAGATACTGTTTAACTATTTAATAAACTTTCAGTGTTTTGTAAAAATGAAACTTTTTGAAAAGGCTATGTAGGGGAGGGTGAGGTGAAGGAGGGGAGAGATCTTTAGGGAAATAACTGTGGAAGACTCATTTCTCCTTGGTTGGGAAGAAGGTACTGGTCTGTGAGTCTTAAAAGAAGTAGGGGCCCCCTCCCTGCTGTTTAGCAGAAAGTATGTTGGGGAAGCAGTCAGGCTTTAGAAGGGATGGCTGTGAAATACACCCAAGGAAGCTAGCTGCTCTGAGGTTTCCAGCCTCCACTTGATCCTAGTGCTCCTAGCATGGCCCAAAGGAGCAAAGACCTGAGATCTAATGGTACTACAAGAATACTCTAGATGTATCCAGTACAGACCAGTGACAAGGGTATCTCCCTGATGCTTAAGTACCTTCAGGTTCCTTAGCATAATTCTTTGAAATAGTAAGCTCCAGTTGTGGCTTAATAAAATTTCCCACCAGTCCTGTGGCATACGCACTTAGAGTACAATTTAAATGGAATCAAATACATTTCTTGCATACCTGAGGTTCTGCACTTAATATTCATGCCTGCTACATAATGCTTCTTAATTTTTCCTTGATTTCCCTGTCTTTTAGTAACTGGCTTAGCTCCTGGGCTGAAGCAAGTGTTCCTATCTTTTATTCTTTTATTTTTGCTATGGAAGTACCCTGAAATTCTTTTTGAAATTAAAACTTGTTGGCTGGCAGGAATTTGCTGCATGTATGTTTTATCTCTTTCTTCCTGGTTCCTCTATCATCTCATTCCCACTCAAGGAGGTAGAAAAGGACAGTTAGCACCTCCTAAGGAATACTGTGGGATGCCCAGTTTTTAAAATCTCTTTCCTAGTAAATTAAAGGCTTACTGTAAGTATCTTATCACACAGAGAGTAAAATAAATAAACCAATATGCGTAACTATATTGGCTTTGTTTACTTGTGAGCAAATCCTTGGCATAAATGAAATCATTGTTAGCATTAATGAAGGTTAGGCTGAGAGTGTTCTGTCTTTATCACAACTGAGCCACAATTGCCAAGTCTGTATATGATATAAGCTTGTCACCTTTCTGGAAGTACTAGAAAAGATAAACGTTAGTTCTGCTAGATAGGTATTGTCCCACAATTAGGCTGTTTAGAAACTAAGATAAATTATACAAGAAACAACTTCTGGAAGTAACAAATTTAACATTTAAATAGCCCTGACTTCATGGTTTGCTCTTGTAATATTGAGAGTACCACAGGCAGTTTGACGGCAATGAAAACAGACATGTTGCAAATTATTTCTTTCAGCTGTACTACAGTGCAGGTCTCAGCCCTTTGCCTTTGTGATCTCAGGAGAGGTCTGCAGCAATTTGCTCTACCTGGGGCTAAAGAGACTTTGAGGGAACACTAACCCAGCAATTGTCTGCTATAAGAACACCGAACCACACTTCAGTACTTTCACTCCTGGATGTAGTGTGAGATTTTTTTCTTCTATAGTTTTTAGCATCTGCAGTGCTATTCTGAAAGACTCTAACACTAAAGTTTGTGAAGGGAAGGCAGGCATTCTTCTGCTTAGGTTACTAAATTCTGACATTTGTTCTCAGAGCCAATACAGTTCACTATCCAAAGAGTCCAGTTATAAATTTAGGCACTTTTATACTTACAAGAGGACAGAGATCAAGAACAATCATATATAAAAGATCTAGCTTAAAATAAATCAAACTATTAGAAAATATGAATTTTAGTAAAAATTGCTATTATGACAGCATTTTTGTAATTTTTCAGTTTACTCATTAATGTGAGAGAAAATATGGAAAAGGATTATCAGCTGGCAAAACATTTTATGCTGAAATATCTTTGAGTCAAAAATTAAGGTTGGTTATTTAGTAAAGAATATTTTACTTTTATAATATTATTCAATGGACCCAATAGTCATTGTCCACTAACACAATTCATTAAGAAATGTAAACTTAGTGTTACTGAAATGTTTAAATTGTCTTTATAGGAATAAATATATACCATGTACAAATATACTTAGTCCTATAAACTAGTGTGTGTGTGTGTGTGTGTGTGTGTGTATATTTTTTTTTAGACAAGGTCTCCGTTGCCCAGGCTGGAGTGCAGAGGTGCAATATTGGCTCACTGCAGCCTTGACCACCAAGGCTCCAGCGATCCTCCCACCTCAGCCCCCAAGTAGCTGGAACTACAGGCATATGCTACCATGCCCAGCTAAATTTTGTATTTTTTGTAGTGATGGGGTTTCACCATGTTGCCCAGATGGTCTTGAATTCCTGGGCTCAAGCAACCTGCCTGCCTTAGCCTCCCAAAATACTAGAATTACAGCCATGAGACACTGTGCCTGACCATATTTTCATTTTTATTATTATTTTGTAAAGAGGAGCAAAAGGAATGCCTAATCCTCCCTTTCTTCCTTATGGGGAAGGAGAGCTAAGCATTCTTGGTAGATTTGGAATATACGGTGGGTGAACTGGTTGGTCTGGGGGATGGGGTGAATCATGTTTAAATTTGAGCAGAAGAAAGGATCTTAGAGCTTTACCCTGGTAGTAAATATCATGTATAAAGGATGTCCTAATATAGTACAATAGAGTGAGAAACAGATCACGTCTCCAGGGGAATAGCAAAAGCCATTTTGCAAGTTGTGGGATTCTCCAGGTTGCTCCTGAGGGTAAGCTCCCTGACCTATCCACATTGTATCCCTTTTAGAGAGACCAGTAATTTCTGAAGTCCCATGGCTTTTCAGCTCTGTGGAAGCCTGGCTTTGAATACCAGATGCCTACTGGCCACAGTTAATCAACCATATGCAAGAACATTGTAGTAGATAAATTTTCATGAGCCCTATCTTTCATACCTTTTCCCCCATGGATACACCCCCTGATGTGATGATGACATCAGCACGACTGATACCCTCATTCAAGGCATTGAGTAAGTCATCTGGGCTGGAAAAAAATAAAGACATAAATTAACACACAAGGAAAAGATTTCAGATATAGTGCCAACTTAAAACTAAATCACCTTATTCACTAATAGGCATTAATATGAGTACAGCACTATATTCTGAATGAAGTGGGAATCAAAAGGGTCTCTGCCTAACAGGAGCATTAAGTCTTATTATGAAGAAAGGACCTTGTATATGCTGAAGTAGTGGCTACTGGCGATTTGACAAGGCTTTTTGTTCTAACAAGCCAGTATAATGAAGGGAGACAATGAGGTGTTAGAGGATGTGTAACTGTCCTGGTTTGCCTAGGAATATTCCTGTTTTAGTACTAAAGTCAGATGTCCTAGGAATCCAACGCGCTCCAGGACACTTGTTTACCTGAGGTGTTGGAAAGATCATATAGGACTGTTTAGAGGGAATGTCTTAAGTGAAGCTCTGATAAATGAGCTGGATTCTGAGAGGTGAAAAGGAAAGGAATGGGAAAGAGCTTCATAAGCAAGAGGATCTGTACTAGCAAAGGCTGGGAATAATGGTTAAGCCTGTGCTGTTTCTAGGTCATTGTGGAAAATGGCCTGCTTAGAGTGAAGGACTTCAGTGGAATGACTGGGATAGGTAGGATGGGACATAATTTTGAAGAACCCTCAAGCTGAAGAATTTAGAGTTTAATAGGAAATGGAGGGGGGAGAATCCCTAGAAATAGGAAAAGCCAGTAGGTATTCATAATATTGGGACTAGAAAAGGTAGGGAAAAAAAGACAAGGAAAACAGAGATGGTATGAAGTACTCATATAGGGTGTGAATACAGGATAAATATTAGGGATGGAAACTAGGCAGGTTCCTGACTGTCACTTGAAAAGGTAAGTGCAACAGGCCTTTTGATGGTACAGGTCAAAGGCCTGGGGAGAAGAGATGAAAACAATGGTCTTATCCTTTGGATGTCAGAATGGTTGAAAAGGCCTAACTGGAGACTGATCAACTGAAAATAAACAAAATGCCAAGAATCAAGATTTATGGAGGGACAGGATGATTGGGAGTAGCTAAAAGGGATTGTTTCATTACTATACTTTAAATCCATACAAATCTACTGAGCAACATGACCTGTAATTGGCATTTCCCTTCAATTGATGCAGAACAGAAAATATATTTTTTGAGGAGTACATATCTAGCTACACCCTTGTTTTCTGAAAAATTATTACCTATTTATACCACCTGACTCTTCCTTTCCCTTTCTCCCCTATGGAAATCTAATGAGAACAAGTAAAAGGGAATAATCCTGGTTTCTGATTTTCCACTTCCTGTCTTTCATTCCCCTTGAGGCCTAGCTGTATTCTTGCTCTTGGGTTTTATGAGATAGCCTTGTATCCTTCCATAATATCTCCTTTGCTTAAGCTAGCTTTAGCAGGTTTTTGTTAACTTGAAACCAAATGATCTCTCAATGAGACATCGTATGTCCTCACAAATATCTCATGACAGTGAAGTTTATTCATGCCCCCTTACCTTAATGCACTATTTAATGAGGGAGGAAGAAGGAAAGTTAGTGACTCAAAATAGCATCTAGGATATAAATTCTATTTTTATCCAGGTGTGACAGAGGTAGGAAGAACTTGAGACCTACCAGAGACACAACCTTCACAGACTCTATAAGAGATAAGCTAGTCAGGAGGTGGCATAACATAGAGATTAAAAATGTGAACTCTGGAGTCAGACTGCCTGAGCTAGTATCTTAGCACCGCTACTTGCTAGATGTTTAACCATGCACAAGTTGTTTAACTTCTATTTGCCTTAGTTTTTCATCTGCAAAGTAGCCATAATAGGGTTGTTATGAGGATTAAATGACATACTATTTATACATATAAAGCACTTGGAATAATACCTGGAACAAACTAAAGTTTCAAGAAAGTCATTTGTCATTACTATTGCTGCTATGCTAACAAGTTAATTATAAAAACATACCTAACAACTGACAAAGTTCAATTTTAGCATGCTTGGTAGTTTTTATTCTGTAAAATACTCATGACTAACACAGAAGAAAATCATAGATTGGTACTTAAATACATTGACAGAGCTACATATGAAAGGTCCACATGACAAGGTAGGCCTGGTTCCAATCTGAACAGCTTCATTTACTATGAGGTTCTCTTACAGGGTCTGGGTAAAATTCTCCTTTTCCTCTAGCACTGGCCTGTCCATGCGTTCTGGCTCTGGAATGCAAGCTCCAAAGAAGGGTCAAAAGGCAAAGTTTAAAAAATGGCTCATGTAAGGTCAGCCTATCAACATAGAGACCTTTTAAAGTCATTCAGTCAGTCATTGCACAGGCAACCAAAAAAGTACCCAGGCATTAATTGAAGGTAGAATCTATGTGTAAAACATTAAAGACTTAAAAAAAAAACAACCCTGACATAAATTTCAAAGTTAAACTAGTTGGGCAAACATCTCAGAATTATTTTGAATAATGCGTGTACTTAAAGTATTTTTGACTTACGTATTTTGAACAGATTTCTCATCAATACTTTTCATTTTGATTTAGGAAGAAAGCAAATTATTCTGTTGTACTGAAATACTACACAATATGCATGTGATGCGTTCCTGATGCTCAGAGTTCTGGGCTCCTTGCCTTGCTGGATCATATTATCATTACACTAAGCCAATGGTTTCCTATTTACTATGGAGTAAATGGAAAAAACATCTGAAATGCAGCATCACATGAAATTTGGTTCAAAATACTGACTGGGTAATGAATACTATCAACAAAATACAATTTTATGTTAGTACAAAAAGAAATTAGCTAATTTTATAAACCTTGTAATATGTAACTTACAACATGCTGATTCTACAGAATGATTGTAAAGCTACTGTAAATGAAGCAGCAGTAAGATACACACCATTATGGTATTAATCTTTGGGGATAAAGGTTCTGGCACAGCCTAAGAATTTATGGTTGTTAGGAAACCAGTTCAAGGGCAAAGCTATAATTTTTTTTTAGGTTGATCCAGAAGTCAGAAGACTGCCCTATCCTTTAAATACTGGGAAAGTCTACCCTTTACAACAAAACTGTCCAGGAAACACAGAGGCCTGGACTGTTTATTTTTGGTACTTTAATGGAAGACTAACAGCTTGCCATTTAGTGCTTTGCAAATTCAGGAACTGACACCTCTGTTCCTTTTGCCACTCATAATCCTCTTTTCCACTGTAATTCCATTTTCATTAGGCCCAAAGTACCCTGAGGGTGAATAGAATTTTCAGTAGGCAAAGGAAAATACCAGCAATCTAAGTAGCAACCAACTGGAGAGTAAAAGAATGAGCACCATATTTAGGATATCCCCTAGAGAAATAAAACTTCTGGGACAATAGATAATTTTAATAATAAAAATAATAATGCCAGGTACAGTGGCTCATGCCTGTAATCCCAGCACTTTGGGAGGCTGGGGTGGGCAGATCACAAGGTCAAAAGATGGAGACCATCCTGGCAACATGGTGAAACCCTGTCTCTTCTAAAAATACAAAAATTAGCTGGCTGTGGTGGGCCGGGCACAGTGGCTTATGCCTGTAAATCCCAACACTTTGGGAGGCAAAGGCAGGTGGATAACAAGGTCAAGAGTTCAAGACCAGCCTGGCCAGCATGGTGAAACCCCGTCTCTACTAAAAATACAAAAATTAGCTGGGTGTGGTGGTGGGTAGCTGTAATCCCAGCTACCCGGGAGGCTTAGGCAGAGAATTGCTTGAACCCAGGAAGTGGAAGTTGCAGTGAGCTGAGATTGCACCACTGCACTCCAGCCTGGGGACAGAATGAGACTCTGCCTCAAAAAACAAAACACTAATACAGATTCAATTAGGAAAAAAAGAACAAAATATGTGATTTTCAATTTTCTTTTTTAGTTGTACTTTTGGTTCTGGGGTACATGTGCAGATCATGCAGGACTGTTGCATAGGTACATACATGGCAAGGTGGTTTGCTGCCTCCATCCCCCCCATCACCTATATCTGGCATTTCCTCCCTAACCTCCCCACATCCTACTGTCCTTCCCCTAGCCCCCCACAACAGATCCCAGTGTGATGCTTCCCTCCCTGTGTCCATGTGTTCTCGTTGTTCAACACCTGCCTATGAGTGAGAACATGCGGTGTTTGATTTTCTGTTATTGTGTCAGTTTGCTGAGAATGATGGTTTCCAGGTTCATCCTATAAAGGACACAACCTCATCATTTTTTATGGCTGCATAGTATTCCATGGTATATATGTGATACATTTTCCTTGTCCAGTCTATCATTGATGGGCATTTGGGTTGGTTCCAGGTCTTTGCTATTGTAAACGGTGCCCCAATGAACATATGTGTGCATGTGTCTTTATAGTAGAATAATTTATAATACTTTGGGCATATACCCAGTAATGGGATTGCTGGGTCAAATGGAATTTCTATTTCTAGATCTTTGAGGAATCACCACACTATCTTCCACAATGGTTGAACTAATTTACACTCCCACCAACAGTGTAAAAGTTTTCCTACTTCTCCACATCCTCTCCAGCATCTGTTGTCTCCAGATTTTTTGATGATCACCATTCTAACTGGCATGAGATGGTATCTCAATGTGGTTTTGATTTGCATTTCTCTAATGAGCAGTGGTGATGAGCATTTTTTCATATGTTTTTTGGCCGCAAAAATGTATTCTTTTGAAAACTGTTTATATCATCTGCCCACTTTTTGATGGGGTTGTTTTTTTCTTGTAAATCTGTTTGAGTTCTTTGTAAATTCTGGATATTAGCCCTTTGTCAGATGATAGATTGCAAAAACTTTTCCCATTCTGTCAGTTGCCAGTTCACTCTAATGATTGTTTCTTTTGCTGTATAGAAGCCTTGGAATTTAATTAGATCCCATTTGTCTATTTTGGCTTTTGTTGCCAATGCTTTTGGCATTTAGTCATGAAGTCCTTGCCTATGCCTCTGTCCTGAATGGTTTTGCCTAGGTTTTCTTCTAGGGTATTTATGGTGTTAGGTCTAATGTTTAAGT